TTACTAATGCTTGGCCCTCACATAGCGCTTTAACGAACACTAATTGAGCCTCACAGCCACAATGTCGTGAAGCAAGCAAGCATAATCCTGATTGTACAAGTGGGTTAAGGCAGGCAGCAAGACTGTGACTTACCCAGAGCTACCCCATGAGTCAGTGATACAGCCAGGCTTTGAGGGGGAATTCCTCTTGCAGGGCTGTGTTCATTAGACCACACTGCCTCTCATCAGAACGGGAGCAGAACAGGTCAGTTCACTCCTTTGATCTGCATTTCATTGTGGGTTGTCACATAGGTGGATCATCAACATACAGGAGTCTCTCCATTGCAAACCCCCAGTAGCTATGGGATTCCTTTTTAAATAGCCAGAAGGGTCTGGCTTTGATGGCCTCAGGAAAGTGATGGGCTCAGTGGAAGAACTTAAATAAAACAGAATAAGCATAAAATAAATATCCTGACTACTGAGTAGACAGATTTCAAAAGGTCTGGGCTGCTCCGCTCTAAAATAAATGAGCCAGTGGCACTTTTCATAGGTGCGGAGCTCCAGGGTAGAATTTTCAGAAGCCCTCAAGCCCTATTTTCAGACGGGACTGAGGAGTCTAAGGATACAATTTTCAAAGGTGCTGAGGAACCACTGTCAGAAAAGACTCAGGAGCCTCAGTCCCATTGATGTGCAATGAGAGTGAGCCTCCTAAGTGCCTAAATTACTTCTGAAAATGGGACTTGGGCTCCCACTTTCACTTTTGAAAACATTGCCCTTGGTCAGACCTTCCTCCTTCCAGAGTCGTGAACCACGCTGCATGCCTGCTCCCCTCCACCGCAGTGGTATGTCTTTGAGTATGTCTACACTGCAACAAAAGACCGACAGCACATCTACGGCTGGCCTGGCTCAGCTCCCTGGGACTCAGACTGCAGAGCTATAAAATTACAGGGTCGCCAACTTTCTACTCGCACAAAACCAAACACCCTTGCCCTGCCCCCTGCCCCGCCTCTCCTCTGAGGTCCCGCCCATGCCCCACCCCTTCTCAGAGACCCTACCCACTCCATCCCCGCTCCCTCTGTCGCTCGCTCTCCCCACCCTCACTCGCTTGCTCATTTTCACCTGGCTGGCTCAGGGGTGCGGGAGGGGGTGAGGGCTCTGGGGTGGGGCTGGGGATGAGGGGTTTGGGAGGGTGCTCCAGGCTGGGACCAAGGGCTTTGGAGGGTGGGAGGGGGATCAGGGCTGGGGCAGGGGGTTGGGGCCTGGGATGGGGGCGGGAGTGCAAGGCTCCAAGCGGCGCTTTCCTCAGGCAGCTCCTGGAAACAGCAGCATGTCCCCCCTCCGGCTCCTACACGAAGGTGCGGCCAGGCGGCTCTGCACGCTGCCCGGTCTGCAGACCCTGCCCCTGCAGCTCCCATTGGCCACGGTTCCCAGCCAATGGGGGCTGTGGAGGCGGCGCTTGGGGCAGGGGCAGCAGGAGGAGCCCTCTGGGTGCCCCTAGACGTAAGAGCTGGGGGGAACATGCCAGCTGCTTCCCAGGAGCTGCGCGGCGCAGAGGCTAGCAGGAGCCTGCCAGCCCTCCTGCGCGGTGCTGCCAACCGAACAGTTAAAGGCCTGGTCAGCACTGTCAGGATCCCTTTTCGACCAGGTGTTCTGGTCGAAACCTGGACACTTGGTAACCCTACTCAAAGGCCAGGCTCCAGCCTGAGCCATAATGTCTACACTGCTATTTTTAGCCCTGCAGCCCCTGTCAGCTGACCCAGGCTCTGAGACTTGGTGCCTCATGTTTGTTATCGCAGTGTAGACATACCATGCACACATGGTCCGGGAAGCCAGCACAGCTGTCTCTTACTAGAGCATTTAATAAGAGCATAGTACAGGCCCTTTGGCAACCATTCTCAATTCATTCTAACAATGCGTTAGCGTTGGTATCAAACAAATAAATGACTCCCTGTTCCAAAATAGCTCCTGGCTCCCCTGCATTATGATTGGCTGGCTTAGTGTATGGAAATCCTGGCTCACTTACTCAGGAGGGGGCAGTCAGGAACAAGGAGAAGGGAGGCTTAGATAGGGGGTGGGGTTCCGGGGGGTGCTTCGGGGCAGGGATCCCAGAGGGGATGATCAGGGGACAAGGAGAAGGGGGTGTTGGATGGGTTGGGGGTTCTGTGGTGGGCAGTCAGGGGGCAGGAAGTGGGAGGGAGTAGATAGGGGATGGGGCTATGTCCTCTTTTTTGAAAGTTCAAATATGGTAACTCTACACTTACACCTATTTCTGTAAGTGCAGGATAACAATACGACTTTGCAATACAAGCTACCCAGCT